AACATTTCTTAAGAAAAAACTTTATATTTTATCTGTTATTTTCAGTAACGAATCTCTGTGGTTCAGTAGATTTGACCGACCTCATAACCTCCATAAAAATTAGGAAATAAATATAAGTTATGTCTTTTTCATTCTAGATTGAGAACAAATTATAACACAAAAACATAAGTGTTTAGACTAAATGGCTTAAATCTCATAACATTATACATTTATATATGTTTATTATTTTTATTATATTGGCTAACAATTCAGAAGTTACAATGACATGACTCACGTGCACTCATGTTACCGTATCCAATAGTATAAAACTGACCTTTAGTCTTGATAAAGTGACCTGTCTTGGCTGTATTTTAGTTGACTAGTATTTTGTAAAATACAGTCACATTTCAATTATTATAAATTATATATGTATATAGATTATTGTTATTTTGAAATAAGTTCTTAAACATATTTTTCCTAAAACATAGAACAGTAAATAAGAAGTAAAGCAAACAATTATCTCTTCTAGCAACTGATTACAAATAACTAATAAGTCATAAATTACTACATTAATACCATTAATACATTAATTCCGCTATAATTTATAAAGCTTAGTAACTAAGCTGTATTTCAGTCTAAAAAAATATGAAATTTTGACCAGACAAAAGACACACCCTAGCTTCTTGAAATACTGGTTCAAAAGAAAGAAATGGTGTGAAGTCCATTAAAATGGCTGAGAAAGCCACTAGGGGGACATTTTGAGCTTCCGATTTGTTATTCATGTCATATATAGAAGTAATTGTATATATGGGAGCATTTCCAAAAAATGGAAAGAGGTGGACGGGGTGCCACTATGTTTGATTTGTTACATCAGCAATATCCTAGCAAGTAGAAAAGATAATGGGTTCTTATTTTATATTCTAGCTTACCAATATTGGTAATTTGAGTTCCTGATTCGTACAAAACTATAAATCTAGTATTTTGACATAACAAACATCTAATTTGAACCAGTGCTGCATTCAACATACCATGTGACACACAAAAATCGATGTTTAACTGTGTTTTTTAGTGTTTACTTTAAATTAAGAAATTGAATAAAGTATAATACTAAAATTTGAATTATAATCTATAGTTTTATCCCCAACTTATTGAAAAAAGTTCATGAAATAATAGTTCAATAAAATTTTAAAGGTGAGTCAACAAATGAGTTAACATGGCTTTTCACCCATGACCCATATGGAAAGGGTTAATTGTCTCCTCAGTTTGCTTACCAACCTCTAAATTAGGGAGACCTGACAGTGTGTAACAGTGTTCTACTTAAATAATTCTGATGAATTTCTTAAAACTTAAGAAAAGAAGACAGCTTTGCTGTAGTTTCATGCTAAGGATCCTATTTACGGTACTCTTTTAATAATCATGAGTGGGTTGTAATAAAATGAAAATTTACCATAAAAGCCATATTAAATAGACTGTCTCATTCAAACATCTGTGGTTTTGGAAATTTATCAACTTGAGCCAGGAAATAAAAGAGTTGTACACCACCTGAGATGGTACTCTTATGATGGGGAGAGGGGGAATATAGATGACATGATTGAATAAACCTTCTAGTCTTGGAAATAGATTTGTACAGAACTTTATGTCATCTACTGATATATTTTAAAGACTCTCCCACCAGATGAAGCACATGTTGTGTATATAAAGTTCTATGTAATGCCTGTCTTGTATTCTGTTATGGAGAAACTTACAAACCGTTGGAAACAATATTAAAGGAGCCCCAAAATTATGTCAGAAAGGTATAGCAAATGTTTCAGGGTTGGCTAATCATATCCTTCATCAAATTGATTGGCCAAACAGCAAAATTATTAGAATAGCAAATTTTATTGATTAGATATTATTTTCTTGGCACTTGTATATAATGTTAAAATATTAAATAAACAACACACAATGTTAAAATTGATACACAATTAAAACCATTTCTAAAATTTGTACTCTACATGTTTCGACATTTACCACACCATCATCATTAGGACTGTATCAATTTTAATGTTGTGTTTTTTTATTCATTGTTATTATTTTTATTCCAGGAACTGTAAAACATTTTGAAAAATTTGCAACACATTAATCATGGCTCAAGTGTTGCCATACCAACAAAGTACCATATGTTTATTAACTGAGATCTGTAAGATGATGAAACAAGAACTGCTTCAGTTTTAAAAACCCATGAAGATCCTGTTTGATCTGTCAAAATGTATTTAAAACCCATGAAGATCCTGTTTGATCTGTCAAAATGTATTTAAAACACATGAAGAAGCTAGTTGATCTGTCAAAATGTATTTAAAACCCATGAAGAAGTTGGTTGATCTGTCAAAATGTATTTAAAAACCATGAAGAAGCTGGTTGATCTGTCAAAATGTATTTAAAACATGTGAAGAAGC